CGCCGAAGCACACGTCTGTCCCCTACCAAAGCTAGGGCCAGACTCCCACCATGTTCATGAAGAAGTTGAAGGCATGGGTAAACACAATCCGTCCTCGACTCAAGTCCATTACATCCAGCACTCAACCCCACAGACGCATTCATAAAATTTAACTTGCTGTTCATTCAAAACGGGAATTTTCTCAAGTATAAATTAATATTATAATATATTAGCATATTGTGCATATATAGGCATAGGATAGGTTAGGTTAGGTGTTTAGGTTCTGTTGGCGATTATTTGTATTTGTAGTACGTGGGTGAAGCATTTATAGCATTGTGATTCGAACAAAATTCGTCAGTGAAGCACTTGTTTCGGATATGTTCGAATGTTAGCAGTTGTGAGTCGTGTGTAAATCGCTTTTCATTCATAAACAAGGGGTTTGGCGGGTGCATGGAATCACTTTTGGATCTTTGTTTGGAGAACGGGCTGGTAAACAAACTCCTTGCACGTTGTTGAAGAGTACGTAATTGCTTGAATAGCACTCTTGGAGTCGCTACAGATTGTATATGTCCCGATTGGTAATGTTGTGATTATTTGGAGAGCTTGATATAAGGCATATAATTCAGTTGTGAAAATGGATATTGGTTTGGTAACCGCCATCCCTGCTTGAGATGGTATTCCGGTATCCATACAGCGCAAGTGACCGAGGGTACGTTGTTCATGATGATGCGAGATCCATCTGTATAAATCACTGTGGTATTTGGGTAGCAATTTTTCATTGTTGAGACAAAGACTGAGGCTATGGCTGAGTTTGGTGCAGATTTTGGAATGTTGTCTTCGAGTTGTATTGCTGTATTAGGAGTTGTATAAAGCCAAGGTGGAATGGGGGGGCCAGGAAGTTGGGTTTCACAGTTTTGGAGTAGGGAGAGGTCTACATTGAGGTTATTTGTAGCCCGTGTGAGGAAAGGTTGCGAGTGATTGGTTGAAAAGCGGGGGTTATGTGGGTTAACTCTTGGGTTAATTTTTTATCTGTATGGGTGTGTCTGGTGAGCAGTGGTACAGAGTGACAGATAGTTGGCGCACATTATGTCTCGTCTTGTGGCTAGGCTTGTGAGGCTCGTTTCCCCGTAAAGTCCGAGGATTGGAGTTGAACGCATTGTGCCACATATAAGTCGCATGACTTTATTTTGGATGACCTAAAAGGCTCTGTAGGTTAGTAGGCGCAGCCAACGCAAATGCTTGGCAACAATAGTCTAGTTGGCTGCGAATGTTGGTTGTATAGAAACGGAGCAAGTTTTTACGGTGTGCTCCCCAGGTGGTGCCAGTGAGGGCTTTCAGTATGGCGAGTCGGGGGTTGTGTCGTCTGTTTAAGATGTTGAATGTGTTCTTTCCAGGTAAGTGAGGGCGAGTCTAAGTGCATGCCAAGATATTTATGTTCTCGTACGTGTTGGACGGGAGTGTTGTGTATTGTGAGGATGAACAAGTCTTTTTTTAGGGAAAATTTGATAATAGGTTTTGGTAGTACTAACTTGAAGGCCCCATTGTTGTGTCCACTCTATGAGGTGGTCAAGTGCTGTTTGCATTGTTGAGACTGTATTAGGTAAGGCATAGTCTGAATAATATAGTGTTAAGTCGTCGGCGTACGCCGAGAGGTGAACAGGATGGGTGTTAGGCAAATCTGCTAAGAATGCAGCAAAAAGGGTCGGGCTTAGTATGGAGCCTTGCGGGACACCCGTTTGTATTGGGATGCCACCGGAAAACTCGCCTTGTATATAGACTTTAGAGGACCTGTTCGTAAGATAGGACTATAACCATAAAAGTAATCTTCCCTGTATGCCTAAACGCGCAAGCTTTGCGAGGAGGCATGCATGAGGAATGCTATCAAAAGCTCCTTTGACGTCTAAGTAGAGAACAATACAAAATTTGCTGCTTCTGAGAGAGGTGCGGATTTCATGGTCAAGGCAAAGTATTTGATCATGTGTGGAGCAGTGCAGTCGAAATCCAGCTTGAAGTGACGGTTTAATATTATTATACTCTAGGTACCATTGGAGGCGAGTATGTACTAGTCTTTCCATGACTTTACTAAGGCATGATAGTAGGGAAATAGGTCTGTATGACGCAGGTAGGAATGGGTCTTTTCCTGGTTTAAGGAAAGGAAGAATAATTCTGGTCTGCCATTGTGAGGGAATATTTCCGTGAGTCCAGCATAGGTTGTAATAGTTTAGAAGAGTGCTATGTGCAGTCGATGGAAGATATTTAATGAGTTCACATAGAAATCCATCCTCTCCAGGTGCCTTGCCAAGAGGTTGGCGGGTTAAGGTTAACTGTAGTTCGTTTAAGGTGTACATATTGTCGACGCCGAGCATGGGCAGCAGTATGGCACGGTCAATTTCTTGTCTGAGGGAGCGTTCTTGGGCATGAAGGAAGGGGCAAACAGCTCAGATGAAATACATGAGCTACCTCAAAATGAGGAGATTCCTCTAATTAAATCTGACCCTGACACAGAATCAACAACTGAAGTTAAACCTTCATTTTCTCTAGTCTCGTCTAATACAACTTCGCATAATGATTCATTCTCAGAGTCTGACCAGCTTTCATAAAGCTCATCTCTATACTCCCTGGATTCTGTAAATTTAATACATGAGGCTACTGAATTAACAAGTCTCTCACATGAACCCAGAGAACCAAGTGAAGCTGCAGATGAAGATGCAGCTGAAATTGTAATTAAAGCTGAGGCTAAGCAAGAAGCCTTAAGCAAAACTAGTGATAGTCATAATTACTCACATCAGCCTCCTGGAGGTGATGCTGAGACCATTAGCATCAGTTACAGTTACACAAATGTACTAGGTGTCTCAAAACACATAATGTTAACAGCTGTGAAACCCCACTGAACACCTGCAATAGATGTAGAAGGGACAAGCATCATGCTGCACTGAGCAAATTTGTCAAAACAAATTATTTAAATCCTAGAATAGGAAGTAGAGAATCTACACAAATACAGTGCTCCAAGGAGCGAGAGGTTTACAGCGTAATTTCCCGAGCATCTCAAGTGGATGCAACCTTACCCACTGTCCAACTCCAAATAAAGAATAAAGCAGTCAAGATTACCACTCGTGAACTATTTGATCAAGGGTCCCAGAAAACTTTCATTACTCAAAAGGCAGCAGAGGCACTTAACTTAAAACCAATCACACGGGTAAAATTAAACCTGTCCGGGTGCATGTTAAGCCAAGTTTCTGCAGGAACATGAACTTAAATTGGCTGACAACCAGTTAACGTCTGACCGTCTTAATAATGTAAATCTACTAGTAGGAGCAGATTACTACTACCAGTTTATCTCTGGACATGTTAAATGATTGGGCATAAATATGCTCCAATCTGCACCATGCTCCAAGGCGCTATGCTCCAAGTGCTCCAAAGCACGCCATGTGTTGGAAAATCCAACACCATTTAATAATATTACATGCAGGCAGATAATATTGCTGCCATTGTATACACAAGTTAACCCATAGAAAATGTAGCTTGTAGTGGAATTTTCCGTCTATAGAAAACGGGATATCATTGCCACATACTATTATAATTCACCAACTATTGTGTTGGAATTATTCTTAAAATACATTAGTCTTTGGACTTTTACAATCATAAAAACATCTAATTTGAATTAATTTAATTATCAGTATCAAAATAAAGTAAATTTGTCCCTTCTATCAGTTATTGATATCTGGAAAAAGTAGGCCAGGCATCAGTGAGTGAGGGAGTGGTCAGCCATTGTTGTTAAGACCAGAGGCGCAGGGAGCAAATTCGGCTCCTATCATTTCTCTTGGACGAAGTGTGACGGAGATCAGAGTAGTGGTCTTCCATCATCAACACGCTGTCAACAATAATCAAGGGAAGTGTTCTACCGAAACCCATTTATCTAATCATTTTTGGCCATTAATTTTAGGTAGATATTGGGCGAACCAGTTAGAATGCGAACTCGCCTCATACAAAAGGTAATTAAGCCTTGGTCGTTATCTGATTCATTATACAGTGTTTTCTCTGATATACTTGTAATATATTAGGATTCTGGCTTTACAGATAGCGCCCTTTGACAGGTCAAGAAGAGGAAGTAAACTTGGTATATCAGTTTCTGGGTGATGGAAGCAGCCTCAAATGAGGACAATTTGGTATCTACATCTAGTTATACCTGGTGGACTAAGCCTGCTGTACAAATAAGATAAGGAACCTCCTCAATGTATACTAATATATGTAGTTTAATACTGTAGTTTAATTGGCTGCATATATATAAATTCAATATAACCCCCCCCCCTATTGTGTAAGGATCGATTTGTGAGATTATTGCAGAAATACAGTCCACTTAATGTCATACCAATTCCTATCGAAATATATAAATTAACGTAAATATAAATTCTATATGAATTCATATAAATTAAATAAATATAAATCTCACAGGTCGGTTCCCACACCATGCTACAAGTGCTTCAAGGCACACTATGCTCCAAGGCACACCATGCTCCAAGTGCTCCAAGGTGCTATGCTCCAAGTGCTCCCAGGCACACCATGCTCCAAGTGCTCCAGGGCATATCATGCTCCAAGGCACACCATGCTCCAAGTGCTCCAGGGCATATCATGCTCCAAGGTACACTATGCTCCAAGGCGCTATACTCCAAGTGCTCCAAGGTACACCGTGCTCCAAGGCACACCATGTTCCAAGTGCTCCAAGGCACATCATGCTCCAAGTGCTCCAGGGCATATCATGCTCCAAGGCACACCATGCTCCAAGTGCTCCAAGGTACACTATGCTCCAAGGCGCTATACTCCAAGTGCTCCAAGGTACACCGTGCTCCAAGGCACACCATGTTCCAAGTGCTCCAAGGCACATCATGCTCCAAGTGCTCCAGGGCATATCATGCTCCAAGGCACACCATGCTCCAAGTGCTCCAAGGCCCACCATGCTCCAAGTGCTCCAAGGTACACCATGCTCCAAGGCACACCATACTCCAAGTGCTCCAAGGCACATCATGCTCCAAGTGCTCCAAGGCACATCATGCTTCAAGGCACACCATGCTCCAAGTGCTCCAAGGCACACCATGCTCCAAGTTCTCCAAGGTACACCAAGCTCCAAGTGCTCCAAGGCACACTATGCTCCAAGGCACATCATGCTCCAAGGCACATCAAGCTCCAAGGCACACCATGCTCCAAGTGCTCCAAGTCACACCATGCTCCAAGTGCTTCAAGGCACATCATGCTCCAAGGCACACCATGCTCCAAGTGCTCCAAGGCACATCATGCTCCAAGTGGTCCAAGGCACACTATGCTCCAAGTGCTCCAAGGCACACCATGCTCCAAGGCACACTATGCTCCAAGGCGCTATGCTCCAAGGCACACCATGCTCCAAGTGCTCCAAGTCACATCATGCTCCAAGGCACACCATGCTCCAAGTACTCCAAGGCACACCATGCTCCAAGTGCTCCAAGGAACACAATGCTCCAAGTGGTCCAAGGCACCCCATGCTCCAAGGTGCTATGCTCCAAGATACTCCATTCTCTAAGTGCTCCAAGGCACAAAATGCTCCAAGTGCTCCAAGGCACACCATGCTCCAAGTGTTCCAAGGCACATCATGCTCCAAGGCACACCATGCTCCAAGGCACATCATGCTCCAAGTGCTTCAAGGTACACCATGCTCCAAGGAACATCATGCTCCAAGTGCTCCAAGGCACACCATGCTCCAAGTGTTCCAAAGCACACCATGCTCCAAGTGCTCCAAGGCACACCATGCTCCAAGGCGCTATTTTCCAAGTGCTCTAAGGCACACCATGCTCCAAGGCACACCATGCTCCAAGTGCTCCAACACATCATGCTCCAAGTGCTCCAAGGTACACCATGCTCCAAGTGCTCTAAGGTACACAATGCTCAAAGGTACACCATGCTCCAAGGTAAACCATGCTCCAAGTTCTCCAAGGCACACCATGCTCCAAAGCACATCATGCTCCAAGTGCTCCAAGGCACACCATGCTCCAAGGCACGCCATGCTCCAAGGTACACCATGCTCCAAGGGCTCCAAGGTACATCATGCTCCAAGGCACACCATGCTCCAAGTTCTCCAAGGCACAACATGCTCCAAGGCACATCATGCTCCAAGTGCTAAAAGGTACACCATGCTCCAAGTGTTCCAAGGTACATCATGCTCCAAGTGCTCCAAAGCACACCATGCTCCAAGGCACACCATGCTCCAAGGCACACCATACTCCAAGTTCTCCAAGGCACAACATGCTCCAAGGCACATCATGCTCCAAGTGCTAAAAGGTACACCATGCTCCAAGTGTTCCAAGGTACATCATGCTCCAAGTGCTCCAAAGCACACCATCTGCAAGTGCTCCAAGACACACCATTCCTGGAACCTAAGATGCTTTGAACGGCTTAAAAGGTTCCAAACGAATCACCCTCCCCCCCCCCCCCCCCAACGTCCACAGCAGTAGAGCAGAAATGTAAACAAATATATTCCAGCTCCCCTGACTTCATACAGGTCGGAGTTCAATCCCCGACCGTCCAAGTGGTTATGCGCCATTCCTTCCCCTCCGTCCCATCCCTAATCCTTATCCTGGTTCCTTCCCAGTGCTATATAGTCTAATGGCTTGGTGTTTTCCCCTGATAATTACCCCTCAAAAACAGCATTTAGTTACCAAGACCAAATCAGGTGAAGGGGGCACATGCCACCTCGGCCTTGGTGGATGGTGTGAAGGTCTCCGTCCAGGACAGAGGGAGGACTGGGCGCCACCAGAAAATATTTCAACATAATCGCCCGCACATTACACCCAGTAAGTACACTCAGGTGAATGAAGGCAAGAGTGTCCGAGTTTCCACTGATAAGGGACAAAGAGTAAACAGACCCAAACCAGCACAGCAGTAAATAGTGCTTTCACACAACTGGACACCCTCTGGCCAATGCTTAAGGCCTTGGACACGGAATTGGTCTAAACTTTGTTATCAAAACAAGGTATTAAATAAACCACAGAGGCTCGAAAGACAATTGAAGACAAGCAGAAGAAGTAAAAAAAAAGCAATATCCTCACCTTCAAGAAGGCAGGGCAGAAAAAACTCTCCTAAAAAACAGGTAGAGTACAGTACTTCTGAAGGTAACCATGATGAGTTAGTTTCAAGTACACCAAGATCCTCATCTCCAATTTCAGCTTCCTTGGCGAGTTCATCTTATTCCATAGATATCTCGGTAATATCAACAAGTTCCAACAACCAAGAGGACTAAAGATCCTGCAATGAAATGCGCAAGGGCTGCACACGAAATTGCAACTTTTGTAATGCATAGCAGCAACCAAGATCATAGACATCCTGTTACTACAGGAGAGCCTGCTTCGTGAAGGATTAAAACTAAAATTTCAGGCTATCGAAGCTTCTTCCTTCCATGGGTCAACGGGTAATCAAGGGGATATGCCATCTATGTGAAAAGTGACCTGATCTCCAAGCCCATAACCAGCCCACCTGATTGTGAGCCGGGGACAGAGATTATGGGAGTATCCATTGAGCTAAGATACGAAAACCTGAAGTGTTTAATGTTTCTCCACGTGCAGAAATGGATCGTTCAGTGTTATTTGACACGCTACCACCTCAAACACAATAATTTATGGTGATTTCAATGTCCATCATCGTTTGGCATTGGGTTCGAACACTACAAACGAGGCCGGCACTCACATAGCACATCTTATAGATCAGCTACCAGAAATTCAAATTCTAAACAAGAATGAACCCACCACCTCCTAAGAGGTAGACTTGATCTTTACTTTATTTCAGCCTCCCTCAGAGATGCAACAACATGGTAAGTTGAGCTCACACTCACAAGCGACCACTATGGGGTCCAAATTGATCTAAAGTTGCAACTATCCACTCCACCTCCACCACCACCAGAAGCCTGGAACTTTACTCTAGCAAAATACAGGTCTTTCAAAACTTCTTCTCAGAGTGGCATAGAAACTATATTGTTCCCGAAAGCACTAATCAAGCAGAACAAGATTTTGTCAAAGGAACTCAAAGTGCAGCTAACCACTCAATTCCATTGACAAAATTTGTCGACTAGACACCTCAATTATCACTTGTACTTTTGCGAACGTGTCAAAGAACTGAATCATAGACTCAATAACACAAGGTATTTATACAAAAGGCAGCCAAGAGACAACAACAGGACCCTACTCAGTGAGGTCAAGGAACAGATCAGGTCAGGTCAGGTCGAGATCAGGTCAAAGTGCACCAAGGATGTGCTTTGATGGATAACCAAAAAACAAAAGTGGCTTTAATGGTGTTCACATCTGAATGAAATCACCTCTCTTTGACAGATGTGGCAGCAAATTCACAAGGCCAAAGGAAATAAAACACCAAAAGCCCCACACCCTAAGGATCCACATCAGGAAGCCGAACTATTGGTAACCAAATTTGCAGAAAGAGCAGCCAGCAATCAGCTTCCATCAGATGCATTAGCAGTGCAGACAGGATCAAAGGAAGAATTCGGGCACAGAATCCTAACAGCATGTGTAGAAGTACCTGACACTAATATCCCTTTCACATTGGATGTGCTCAATCGGGCTAAAAAAAATCCAAAGATACATCCCCCAAAGCCTACAAAATAATCTCTAAAATTATTAGAAACGTCGGGCCAGAGGAAGATGATATATAAATTGTAGGTTATACATTAGGTTAATAAATTTAGTCTGGATTTATCAAACTAGACCTACTGCTTAGAATAAGGCAGCCATAGTACCGATCCCAAAACCCATTGATACAGCTAATCCAAGACACATCTCTCTCCAAAGCTGTGCAGCCAAGATGACTAACAGAATGGCACTCAATAGATTTGAGTGGAAAATGCCTAAACTGCAACAAAACGTTATGCCTATAGAAAAGGGGTTGACAATGTGGAATGTTTTGCACCTCTGTTAGCCCACCTAAATGACACAACAAGAATAATGATATTCCTGGACCTTGAGATAACCTTTGAACTGGCTTGCGCCCAAGCTATTCTCTGCTGCCTCATCGACAAAGAGGTCAAAGGCAACCTGCTCTCATGGACCAAAACTTGTCTCATAAACAGAGAAGCAGGAGTGAAACTTCATGACACAGTTTCTGAATACCAAAAAAATGTCTGAATACAAAAAACATGTACTTCGTAGGGCAGCATTTTCAGTCCCTACTTTTCTACTGTTTAATAGAAAAAATAATGAGGCTGAAACTCCCTCAATATTGCAGGCTGCTAAACTATGTGGACGACACTGCCATCACCATAAAAGGAAGGGATGCAGCATGCCTTGCTCCCAAATACTTAGACTGCAACAGTGACGAGACAAATCAGAATTGTATCATCTCAACCCCGCTAAGATAAAAACCATGCCCATAACAACAATGAAGCCCAACAACCAACTCAAAGTACAGTGTCAACCAATTGAATGGGTGGACACTTATCAGTATCTAGGAATACTCCTAGACACACATAAACTTTATTGCTGAGGTCACTTACTTGCGAGAGAGAACTGCGGCCTGGACGGCAATCCTCAGGTCGATAATCTCCCACTTTGGAGGAGTCAATCTGCAGGTCCTTTGCACATATTATGTACAGACAGTCAGATCAGTGATCGACTATGCAGCACCTACACTCACAAGCCAATCACAACTACAGTCGAAAAAGCTTGCAGTAGCACAAAACAATGCTATGAGAGCTGCCCTCGGAGCCCCCTCTGTGGATCAGACTTGAAGCTCTAAAACAGGAAACGGGCTTCCCCTCTCTTCAAGAAAGTATATCTCAAAGAAAAGCTATGATTATCAGTAAGATAATTGTTTCCCCCTGATCCTGTCCCAGTACGACAGGCCTTGGTGGCTGGACTTGGACAAAACAACGGAACTTCTTGGGCTGCCAGAGATGGAGAAGTCCTAAACAGACTGCAAATAAAATGCATGATTCTTGAAAGAGGAGGTGATCAACCACACCCAAACTACATTTGTTCCCTACGTTGGGAGGAGCCTAACTTCAAAATAGTGATAAGTCTTCCGATGAAAAAGGCTGCCTATGATCCAATAATCCTAAAACACATCATAGAAAAGCAAATGAACAGCATTGTAGTGGTAGGAGCCACACAGATCTTCACAGACGGATCAGTGGACAGAATATGAGAGTGCTGGCACTGCTTTTTGCACGGACAGCGAACAGGCATATGGGAGACTGGGAGGACCAGTATCATCAACCCAAATTGAGTTGTTTGCTATTTTAACAGGCATTCGCATATGTCTTTGTGATTTTGTGATTACACAAAACACTAAAAATGTAATCATACACATAGGCACAAAAGCTGCTCTTCAAATATTAGGAAAAACGCAGTGGAAAGACAACATGAAAATAATTACCATCATTTTATATCTAGGAGCAGAAGCTAAAGGAAAAGGACTCAACATAACCCTAAACTGGATCCCATCCATATTGGAATCCTGCTAAATGAGAAAGCTGATGAAACTGATAAAAGGACAACTCGTCATCCAGTGATCCACAAATGAATCCAACCCAGCATAGAGTACATAAAACACACCATCACCAAAAAACGAGCACACCTCAACAAAGCCCCTCTACAACAGTGAGTTGCAGAAGGTTCGCCCTCAGCAATATAGTATCTTCAGGCCACAGACTCAGACAGGTTTAATACCCTGAAAGAAATCCAGAGGGAAATAACACCGGTTATACAGACTACCTCTAGGTTAAAGATGGAACTAGGAAATTAGTGAACCAAGAGATTGGAAATGCATCTTCTGCCAAACAATCACAGACAAGACACTACTTCACAATCTCCTGCCCTCCCTGCTGTTCCTGGTGGTGTGGACGTGGCTCTTTTGCGATGGGCGGCCATCTTCCCCCTGTCGTGAGGGTGAACTCCATAGGTTTGGAGTTTACTGGCCGTGCGGGATACCCTCTCGTGGAGTTGGTCATGAGTGACATGCTCAAGGTCCCGGTCATGGACGTCCATGGTGTCGCATTGGTCACTGCTCGCCATGTGATCATCAAGTTTGTGGGAGAGGCAGTGTACCGTGACTTTCTTCGACGGTATGAGGGGCGTACTTTGCAACTGCAGGACGGCAACGGGTCTGTGGCCATTTCGGACCGAAGCGGTGCTGTGACGTATGTGAGTGTCCATGGCGCCCCTATGGAGTTTCCTGAGACCCTCCTCCGGCGTTTCTTCCAGAGGTATGGCCCCGTCGTCAGTGTGAGGATACACTCGCTGTCTTCTGGGAAATATTCAGGTGTGAAGACCAATATTTGTACCCTCGGGATGCGACTGAGGTCGGACATTCCATCCTCTGTCCGACTTTTAGGGTTCTACGTGCTGGTGTTTTATGCCCAGCAACCCTGTACTTGTTTCCGGTGTGGCATGTTGGGGCATCAGGCTGCTGGGTGCACTGCTGATCCGGATGCTCCCGTCAATTTATTCCGTGAAGAGGATTTCCCGCCGCTCCCTCTAGAGGAGGCATCCGGGGGTGAGCCCCCGGTTAGCTGACATGGCACCCTCTGCGTCGCACGACGTTACTCCGGTTGTTGCTGAACCTCCTCCGGGTATTGCAGTGCCGTCGGATGATCTACCTGCTCCTGTCATTGCCCTCGCTGTTCCTTTGTGCCTTCCTGGTGCTCCCTGTGAGGTGTCGCCGTCTTCTCCCTCGTCTTCAGCTGCTGCGCCTGGCTCTGTGTTCTCGACTCGGGTCCCAGATGTGCTGGGTTCTGGGGTGGCTGCGGAGCCTCCTGCTGTGTGTGGCCCGGTTTTCCCTGTGGTAGGGGCTGCTGCCGTTCTGCATCGGGCGTCGATTCGTCCGGCGTGTGGTACCCGTGTTTCTGGGTCCGCTTCCGGCTCTGACGATATCCAGCCGGAGCCCAATCGTTCCCAGCGTTCGTCTTCTGCCTGGGCCGATGTTGGGGACTTCAGTGACTGTGGGTCTTCGGATATTAACGGTGTGGATTTGGATGCGTCGATGTCTCCCCGGTTGGTGGTGGTGGAGGTCCTTGTGCCTGCTGGTCCTGGTGCCCGTGTCTTGGGAGTGCCTTCTGTTCCTTCTCCGCCAGGGGACTCTCCGCAATGGGGGGTGGTGACTTCCGCTGCCAGGGATGGTGTGGGTGCTGGTGATTGGCGTGGCCTGGTAGTGACCTTACGGAAGGATGCGCGCCACCCAGGTTCTCTGCTGTCGTCTGGTAGTGTGCCTGTGGCCCCTGGTGCCCCTGTGGTGGTGCCCTATGTCCGGCCCCCTCCTGTGAGGATGCGCGTTGGGGACTTGGAGGCCGTGGTTGCCGAGTTCATGTTGTCTGAAAGGCCGGAGGACTTTCATGAAGAGCATGTTCCATGCGTGTGGGGTAGAGTGGCGGTTACTCGCCTCCGGAATGATACCATCTGGTCCCCTGTTTGCGGGTGTTTGTTGCCTGGGTTCCGGATGAAATGGCGTCCCCGGTGGGTGGTCAAGACCCTTTGAGGAGGTGGCTGCATTGGGAGGCGTTCAATGTGCGGTTCCCCTGGTTCTTCTTCCCGGGCAAATATGTCAGCTGATTTCATGTTTTTTTTTGCTCAATGTAGTATTGTATGCCCCTATGGCGTTTTGTTTGCCCTAATGTATTATGTGCCTGTGCCTCTCTATTATTTGTTGCAAGGCCGGTGTTTTGGTGTGTGAGTGTTTTTATTCCTGTATTTGCTTTTGTGTGGTTACTTTGCCCTGTGTGTTCTACTTATGCATTGCTCTGTTGTGTTGTATTTTTGTTTTTCTTTTTTTTCTTTTGTTTTTTATTTTGTTCTTTATTTTTATTTTGTTTTTCTTTTGTTTTTATTTCTGGCTTGTTGGGTGCTGTGCACTTTTCTTGTTATATTTCGTGTTGTCCCTTATGATGTGTTTTGTTCTCGATCCTTCCGGCCGGCGCTTTCTTGTTTGTTTTATATGTTACTATGTTTTGTTTTCTTATTTGCATGGATTACTTGTGTTTTGGTATTGTGTATTTTGTGTCTTGTGTGTATGCTGTGTTTCTCATGTGTTTATCCAGTTCTGCTAATTGTTGTCCTGTGCTGCTGGTCCGGGAGTTTCTTGTTTTGTTTCCTATGTTATTTTATTGTATTTATTGTATTTCACTTGCATGCTTGCATGTAAAAATACAAAAATTAAAATAAAAACTTCACAATCTCCTGGAATATGATGCAACTAACGACCTCAGAGAGGCTTTAAGAGGCCCTGAACCTTGCAGGAACCACCTTGAAGCCATGAACATTGTCACTCTTCCGGACAAAAAAGGGTCCAGCAGCGGGACACCCTCATAAATGCTGTCAAGCAGTATCCTACCCTGTGATAGCAGCCATATAGTAAGGACTGACGATTTAATTCGAGCTCAAAACACAGTATATCCGTTCATGACCAAAGATCACATTCACTAAATAAAAAATTAACCACTTACGGGCTATAGAGTTGTCACCTGGCTAACAGAGGGTGGACGCGTGTTTTCCAGTTCCTCAGTTCGCGCATGTTGTGTGTCAAGCTGCGCGATCTGATGGGTGCTCATCTTCTGCAAGACCATCGTGTGGTAATTAAGTTTCTCTACGAAGATGTGTTTCAGGCGTTACTCGGTCAG